AAAAAAAAAAAAAAAAGAAAGAAAGAAAAAAAAATGCTCCAGTCAATGTCTCTGGCCATAGTTGCCAAGAGAGGTTACTTACCATTTGGAACGAGGAGGAGGCTCTTCACAATGCTTCTGAGGGGGCCAAGACTGATCTGATTGGTGGTGGCAAATTCAGAGAGCTGAGCCAGAAACCTTTCTACCTGCCGAGAGGGAACAGCACAAACCAGCCTTCACTTTGTAAGCATCTTAGGACCACAGACCCATGCTACAGAACTCGCATCATGAAATGCTTTACCTCTTTTGGCTCAGTTAGGAAGTGGAAAAGTACTTCTGTCAGGGCTGCGAACTGCTGTTAAGAAAATAACACAGAATATCAGTAAAATGTCTACTCCTGGGTCAGTGTGCCACATCTCACCCTAGTGCAGACCCTTGAGAGAAAATAGCAATAGACAGGTGTTGGCATGTTCTGACCATCTGAAAGCTACAATGTTCACAGTACTCATCACCAGTATCAATGTATCTGTGTTACTATTGTGTGTGTGTATGTATGTATCTATATATACACATATATATTTTATTTCTATTTATTTATTTTTTTTGAGACAGCCTCAAGCTGTCGCCTTGGGTAGAGTACCGTGGCATCACAGCTCACAGCAACCTTCAACTCCTGGGCTGAAGCAATTCTCTTGCCTCAGTAGCTAGGACCACAGGCACCTGCCACAATGCCGGGCTATTTTTTTGTTGCAGTTTGGCCGGGGCTGGGTTTGAACCCACCACCCTCGGTATATGGGGCTGGCACCCTACCCACTGAGCCACAGGCGCCCTCTGGATTTTTATTTTCTTCTATTTTGCATATCCATATATTCTGGTCATCAACCTCCTACCCCTGCAATAAAAATTATGCTGTTTGTATAAAAAAATATGTTGTCGGGCGGTGCCTGTGGCTCAGTGGGTAGGGTGCCAGCCCCATATACCCAGGGTGGCAGGTTCAAACCCGGCTCCGGCCAAACTGCAAAAAAATAACAATAATAATAATAATAGCCAGGCATTCTTGTGGGTGCCTGTAGTCCCAGCTACTTGGGAGGCTGAGGCAACAGAGTCACCTAAGCCCAGCAGCTAGAGGTTGCTGGGAGGTATGATGCTACTGCACTCTACTGAGGGCAACAAAGTGAGACTTTGTCTCTTAAAAAAAAAGAAAAAATAGAAAAGACTTTATTATACTCTATATTAGAACAGGCTCTTATTATTTTCTGGGTCTTTTCCTTCCTTCCTTCCTTTCTTTTTTTGAGACAGAAGCCCTAACTCCCAATGTGACAGGATTTGGAGACAGTGCCACATAGGTGATAAAGGTTAAACAAGGTCATAAGAGTGGGACCACAGAGGGCTGGTGCCCTTATAAGAAGATGACACAGGCCAGGCGTGGTAGCTCATGCCTGTCATGCTAGCCCTTTGGGAGGCCGAGGTGGGTGGATTTCTTGAGCTCACGAGTTAGAGCCCAGCCTGAGCAAAAGCGAGACCTCGTCTCTACTAAAAATAGAAAAACTGAGGCAAAAGGATAACTTGAACCCAAGGGTTGGAAGTTGCTGTGAGCTGTGATGCCACAGCACTCAACCCAGGGCAATAGCTTGAGACTCTGTCTCAAAAAAAGAAAAGAAAAGAAGATGGGATAAAGATGTTCTTTTTCTCCACCATGTGAGACACTGTGAGAAGGTGGCCATCTACAAGCCAGAAAGAGTGGCCACAGCAGGAACTGCATTGGTTGGCACTTAGTTTTGGGCTTCTATCCTACAGAATTGTAAGAAATTGGGCCTGGCATGGTGGCTCATGCCTGTAATCTTAGCACTCTGGGAGGCTGAGGCAGGTGGACAGATTGAGCTCATGAGTTTGAGACTAGCCTCAGCAAAAGCAAGACCCTGTCTCTACTAAAAATAGAAAAAAACTGAGGCAAGAGGCTCATTTGAGCCCAAGAGTAGAAGGTTGCTGTGAGCTATAACATCATGACATTCTACCCATGGCAATAGCTTGAGACTCTATCTCAAAAAAAAAAAAAAAAAAAAAAAAGAGAGAGAGAGCCTGTGTCTCAATTTTTCTGTTTAATAGAGATGGGGTCTTGCTATTGCTCAGGCTGGTCTTGAACTCCTGAGCTCAAGTAATCCTCCTACCTCTACCTCCCAGAGAGCTAGGATTACAGGTGTGAGCCGCCATCATACCTGGCCTCCCAAATAGTTTTTGAGTTTTCCTTCATTTGTTTATTTATTTATTTATTTATTTATTTATTTTTTAGGCAGAGCCTCAAGATGTCCCCCTGGGTAGAATGCCGTGACATCACAGCTCACAGCAACCTCCAACTCCTAGGCTCAAGCGAGTCTCCTGCCTCTGCCTCCCAAGTAGCTGGGACCACAGATGCCCGCCACAGCATCCGGCTATGTTTTGGTTGCAGCCATCATTGTTATTTGGTGGGCCTGGGCTGGATTTGAACCCACCACCTTAGGTGTATATGGCTGGCTCCTTAGCCGCTTGAGCCATAGGTGCTGAGTCTTCATTTGTTTAATTTTGGCTGGGCACCTGTAGCTGCTCAGTGGTTAGGGCACTGGCCACATGCTCCAAGGCTGGTGGGTTCGAACCTGGCCTGGGCCTGGTAAACAAGAACAACAAAAAAAAAAGGTGGGTGTTGTGGCAGGCACCTGTAGTTCCAGCTACTAGGGAGGCTGAGGCAAGAGAATCGCTTGATTCCAAGAGTTGGAGGCTGTATGAGCTATGACACCACAGCACTCTACCAAGGGCAACAAAATGAGATTCCATCTCGATAAAATAAATAAATAAATAAATAAAAATGTAATTGTTTTCCTTTCCTGCAAATCTGTGAAACTGTCAGATATCTGGCCAACTGTATTCCCTATGCCATCTTGGGCCTTCTAAAACACCCAGCAGCTGAAAAGACCTCTGTTTTTTCATTCCTAGGCCTCAGCCTAGCATTCTGACACAATTCTAACTTCTTTGTCCAGTTTCACCCCTGCCCCCCTCTAGCTAATCTGGTCTGTTGGCTGTTACTGCCCCTCAACCCTATCTCCACTTTTCCAAACCCTCCTTATCCTTCAAAGCCCTGCTGAAGATACCATGGCACTCCCAACAATAATCCTAGCTACTGGGGAGGCTGAGGATAATTCAAGTATAGTTCAGCCTGGGCAACAGAGTGAGACCCTGTCTCTAAAAAAAAAGAAAGAAAGAAAAAGAAAAGGATCTACCCAGATTCTCAAAGTCTGAGGCTCCTTTTTGAAACCTTGCCTAAGGGTATCTAGAGTTCCTGATAAGGAACACAAACTTGTTTTAGCAGAGAAGCTCTTTACTTAGGTTTTCTATCTATCTTCACCGTACCTAAAATACTGCACATGCACAGTAAGTACTTACTCTTACTGGAATGCAACTGCATAGAGGATCCTCCCCGGAATGCTCACCCACCCAAGACTATCTGCCCATCCATGCATATTAAAAATCCTAACTATTCTCACCAGTAAACAAAAGAAGAAATGTTCAAGTCATTCTAGACTGGAGAAATGCAAATCAGTAAAACAGGGCAGCGCCTGTGCCTCAAAGGAGTAGGGCACCAGCCCCATATACCAGAGGTGGCAGGTTCAAACCCGGCCCTGGCCAAAAACTGCAAAAATAAATAAATAAATAAAAGCAATCCATGTAACCAAAAATACTTGTAGGCCCATAATACTTCAAAATTTTAAAAAAATTATCAAAATTTTGAAAATTAAAAACAAAACAAAATAAAAAAACAGTTACATAAGTATTCTGTTTGGGGAAAAAAAAAAAACCAACTACAAATGTTTTAATGGGCTTGGCGCCTGTGGCTCAAGTGGCTAAGGCGCCACCCACGTAGACCTGAGCTGGCGGGTTCGGATCCAGCCCCTGCCACCAAACAACAATGATGGCTGCAACCAAAAAATAGCCCGGCATTGTGGTGGGCCCCTGTGGTCCCAGCTACTTGGGAGGCAGAGGCAGGAGACTCGCTTGAGCCCAGGAGTTGGAGGTTGCTGTGAGCTGTGATGCCATAGC